TTCAGACAACAGAACTGCCATCAAAACCTTGGGAAAACCTTGCAATGGATTTCTTGGTCCATTACCATCTGGTGAATCGATTCTTGTGGTGATTGACTATTATAGTAGATACTATGAATACAAGGTGATGAAATCAACCACAGCACAGAAAACTGTAGATGTTCTCAAAGGTATGTTCTCACGACATGGATTGCCTGTGTCAATCTACTCAGACAATGGTCCTCAGTTCAGTATCTGAGGTGATGGGAGACTATCTGACGGACAGTGGTATTGAACACCATCGAAAGTAACTCCTCGTTGGCCTCAAGCTAATGGTGAGGTGGAGAGACAAAATCAGTCTCTAGTGAAGAGATTGAAGATTGCTCATGCCACAAAGCAGAACTGGAAAGAGGCACTGCAGGTATATGTCACTCAGTACCGTGCAACACTCCACACAGTAACTGGGAAAAGCCCAGCTGAACTGTTGTTTGGAAGGAAGATGAGAACTAAGTTACCTGTTTTGATTCCTGAATCCATTGACTATGAGGTTCGTGACAGAGACGCCGAAAAGAAAGGTTCATCGAAATTGCGCCAATGAAAAACGCCATGCAATGAGAGTCCAAGATTGTTCCTGGAGACAAGGTGTTGCTTAAAAGGAACACATGAGTAAGGTAGACACACCTTATTTCCCAACACCAGTTGAAGTTATTTCTAAGGCAGGAAGCATGGTGACTGTGCAAAGTGAGGATGGTGCTCAGTATAGGCGTATGCTACTGCGATGTGAAGCCATATCAGTCACAGCTGAACAATCTGACAGAACCAACCGGTGCACGAGTTGATGACAATAAAGCTAGCCATTCAGAGACTGTGGATATTGATCAGTGTCTTAGGAGGTCTGACAGACAGAAGTCTGTTCCAAAGAAGTTTGATGACTTTGTTATGCTTGACTGATTGGGGATCTGATTGCTTAACCATTGTTAAGTTGATAGTTTTACTGTTTCAGCATAGACTGAGAGTTCAGTTTCATGGACATAAGTATTCATGTTATTTTGATTTGGTTCAGTAGTTTGCAACATTTAATTTCAGTTCTGACTATTTTGATAATGACTGAGAAACAAGAGCTGGAGTTCATAAAGTAGTGTATTGAGGGTATGCTTAGTTATTTGGCTCAAGTTGTCCAGACTTCATGATTCTGCAGAAATGTCAGTTTATGTTAATATTTGTTTAAGCTATAAGGTTACAGTAATTACTGCATTTCTCTGATAGGGGAGGGATGTCGTGTCGGTATTGTCAGATACAGAATATTTCGTTTCGCTCATGAGTGTGTGTTTTGTAAGACGAGGGACTGGATGTAATAAATGGAACGTGTGGTGGAAGAAAACCGAAACTGTTGTGTGGTAAATAAGATTGCAGACTTAACTGAATTATAATACTGCAAAATAACAGACGCGGCTAAGCCAGCTAATAACCGAGACTGTAAGAACTCCACTACTTCAACTACAGTTGAAGAAAAGGGATCAAGAATTCCGTCTGCTGACACACCAGCGAGTACAACAGGCCCATCTATCCTCATATTAAACATTTGTCGAATCCCTCCGCGAAGCCAGAATTGTGTCTGCAACTGGTGCAGGAATTCCGGACAGAGGCCAGGCCACCCACTGAATCCTGGGATTCGGGTGCGGCGCTCCGTTCTGGGATAGTAAGTCCGGTCGATGGGGTAATCGCCGTCTGGATGTCCATCTCAAGACGAACCATACGGCCTCGAACCTGCTCCCGAAGTCGTTCGAACACCAACCTGACTGCTCTCAATTCTAGCACAATGATGTGCAGTCGCGCCTCGCTCCGTGACTCACAGGCCTGAGACCGACAGGACGCCAAACACGCCCCCCCACCCTGTGAGTGAGGCGTCTGTCTGAATCGAGAGATCTGGCGATGGGATGTCCAAAGGGAGCCCCATGGATAAATTCCCTGCCAGTGTCCACTACCTTAAATGAGGAATCAGCCACCCTGGAGTGTGGAGAATCACCTCGTAACCCCCGGTGTGGACCCACATTCGAGAGCTAGAGCCTGCTGAATGGGTCACATCCTCAACCAGCGCTTGCCAAACGATGTCCACCGTTGCCGCCATATTGCCTTGCAACTGGAGCCAAGTCCGAGCTGAGGCCCTGGGGGACTCGAGAAATTGTAACACAACTCTCTGGACTTTGATGACGCGGTCCGGAGACAGGGAGACTACCCTTCGCGCTGTCTCGAATCTCGCTCCCAAGAACACGAGATCCTGGGCGGGAACCAGTTCTGATTTCTTGAGGTTGATAATCCAGCCCAACTTGGTGAGTATACTCATCACAGAAAGTGTCGCAACTCGACTCAAGTGAGTGGCAGCACCTGCCCTGTGACCTGACTACCTGGGCTGGAATTAGCATGAGTTTGGTGAACACCCTTGGCGCTGTGGAGATGCCGAAGGGGAGTACAGGAAACTGATATCACCTCCCGTCGAAGGAAAACCTTAGGTATTTCCTGAACTCGGGGTGCATAGGGACATGGAAGTACGCGTCTTTGAGGTCGACGGACGTCAGCCAATCTCCCTTCTCCACAGATGAAATCACCGAACGCAGTGTTTCCATCTTGAAGGACGGAACCTCTAACATGTCGTTCAGACCTTTGAGGTTGAGAATAGGTCTGAACCCTCTGTCCTTTTTGGTGACAAGGAAATAAGTTGAGTAATAACCCACCATTTCCTGTCCCACTGGAACCACCTCTATGGCTGCCTTGTCCAGTAATGACCGGACCTCGGCACGGAGCACCTCCGCCTTCTCTAGGGCAGCCGGCACTGGAGTGCAACGGATCCCGGAGAAGGGGGATGGGTCTCGCTTCCACTGTGGCATGTGGCCTTCCCTGAGCGTGGACAGGACCCAGGGATTGGAAGTGACTTTTTCCCATTCCGACAGGAAGAGAGAAAGATGCCCCCCACTAGGGATATGTGGCATGAGACAATGGGTACCTGACGTCGGCAGTACTCCAACTGCTTGGTCTGGCACCAACAAGGGCTCCGGAGGAATTATAACTGGGAAGCCGGGGCTGACTTCCCCTTCCTCTGAAAAGGCTGGTGGGGCGCCGTGGCCTTGCCCTTGCCTCTGCCCTTACCCTTCCGCGACAGCAAAGGCTGAGCCCATTTAACAGATTCCTTCGCCGCGGCAGAAGGGTATGCGGAGGTAGGAACTGGGGGTCGCGCCCGAGACAAGTGAGGCTGTTCCAACAAGGGCGTCCTTGAAGGTGGAGACAGCCTCCACGGCCTCCCGGACCACTGTAGCTGCCCCGGGGAACAGGGTAGAACCCATCCGGAACGGCAGCGCCAGTAGAGCCTGTTGCGTGGCAGGAGAATACCTGGCCACGGAAAGCCACAGGCGACTGAGACCCATAACCGCCGACATCATTTGGCAAGCCGACGACCTAATAGAATCCCCAATGGCAAGCAAAATGATCCCGACACCGAATGGCCCGGCAAAGCAGGCACAAGCGGTGGGACCAAATGCGATGGTGTAGCAGATACTACAGGGACTGAGCCTGTGAAACCGGTACGAACTACTGAACCAGTCCCAGAGCCAAGGGTTGGGCTGGTGGTAGTTACTACAGCGGAGGGGTGGCCAGCAACCGAGACGAGACTCGGAGCCAACACACCCCGGACAAAACCCCCACACCAGAGCCTAAGCTAAGGTTGGGGGTACTGCCCGCCATAGATACGGAACACCCCCCCGTACCTGGCCGGACACCAATCTCCTGACGGAGACCAGCCATTGCATCAGACACAAGAGAGTGGACCGAAACCATTTGCTGCAGCAATAAATCAGATATTAATTCAAATGTAAGCGTGTTAGAAACAGGGACAGGGGGGGAAGGTGCCTGTGATGTGGAGGGGATGGATGGAGAAGGGACCGAAGGTCCCGAACCCTTCGCCCATTTAGGAGCAGTATCCCCCGAAACAGAGGAAGCAGAAGCCTTCTTTTTCTTAGGAGGCTCCTGACCCCAAATGTCACCCCCCCACCCACCTGAAGCAAAGACATGTACAACATCATATCTGCACGTCTGGACTTGCTAGTACGCAGGGAGAAAGCCTGACACATGGAACAGCCTTGTTCGTCATGGGCTTCCTCCGCCAAACAACGCAAGCATACCAGTTGACGATCCTGAGGCGACAATGTAGCGCTACAGGTAACACACCCCTTGGGCTGCAAAAAACAGAACCACGCTATGACTAATGGCAAGGACTGTTGGAGATAATGTAATATGCACACAATAAATAAACGGAAAATATACAATGCACGGGTGATATTTAACTGCTACCGCAAAGCTATTAAATACTAGCATAAAGCCACAATAGCGAAGAGTAATCGTGTACATAGATGACAAAGAGCAACATATGTGCGCGGTCTGTTAATTTAGCAATCGCACCCCAAAATCACTCAAGCAAAACTTACCTAAAGCCGCTGAAAAAAAAAGAGGAATTTAGGCAAGCATAATCTACACAATGAGATATCAGCACCCTTACAACCCGACTAAAAGGCTTTATTGAAGCCAGCAGAAGGGAAAGCAAAAGGGACCCCGCGGTCCGCCAACTAGCCTGCTACATGGCTGGAGACAGAGAACACGCCGGCAAGGTTACAACAAATCATGAATGAAAAAAGTCATACTAAGATTCCAGCTAGCGCCCGTGCGAAGAAGAAGGAACCATACATACAGGATTTGACTCTTTCTCACTCATCTTAATCGAAGTACTTAGCGAAGACGTGTCTTCTGGAACGCCAGTCAACGACAGCATGAAAAGTGAGGTACGAGGTACACAGCCAGAGTTACCTGCTCTTGGCTATAGGGGGCCCTGCACGGGGCCCTGTTGGGGTGTTCTCACTAAACATAACGAGTTTTTTGTTTGGTAAAATATTTTATTGAAATATTGTTACAACTGTCGTAGGGTTTTAAAATGGACAGTTTAATGCTTACATGTACCCCAAGGAGGACTTCTTCTGAAAAAGAATTGGTCCATTTATCTCTTATAGTTTTTGAGATATTGAGGTTTAAAGATTTTGACATTTTGGGTTGTCTGCCCTTACCGGAACCGGAAGTCTGGATTTTTTTTACTATATATCAATTTCAGCACACGGGCTATCATCCCTGAAAGTTTCAGGAAAATCGACCCAGTAGTTAGTTCAGGAGAGCTGTCACATAAATTGTTCAAATAATAATAATAAGAAGAAGAAGAATATTCGGATAATAAAAGTAGGTCTTCCAGACTTTCGTCTGAAGACCTAATAATATTCGGATAATAACAGTAGGTCTTCCAGACTTTCGTCTGAAGACCCAATAATCTGAACGATTACAATAGGTCTCCTGCCTAGAGGAAAGGAGCCCCAATAATAAAATATAATTTGAAAACAATATAATTAATTCTATTTATCTAAGTCATATGATTATTTGTAAACTGTTTAATGTGAAAATGATTAATTAGTCTTGTTATTATTACATCTAAGCATCTACATTTTCCACCACAACCTTATTTTAGACACACCCCATTTCAGCTTTGAAGAAGGGGGATAACTCTAATTAGATAAGATTTGGCTGACTGTTCAGTGTTTACTGTTGCTGTTACCTGTTGTAATTTGTCTGGTTGTGGTCTGAGGTAGGGTGTCAGGAGCCACCTCTTTGAGGGGTATCCGCTGTCTCCAAGGAGATGAGCGCCGTCTGGCAGATTATACCCCTCCATTAAGCAGTGTAGTCTGCTTCCTGTCAATATCCGGCTGTCATGCGTTGAACCGGGCCACCATGCAACTATGTCAGTTATTTTATCATCATCATCAAAGACAGCCTGTTGAAAATAAAATGTTCTAAGGTGAAGATACTTGTGAATATTTACCAGCATGACAGCTTTACAAACTATTACATAAAGTAATGAAGATATCTGTTTTAATTGAAGCAATTTGATAAACTCATAAGAATTGACGTGTGATTAGAATGTAGAAGTATAGGCGCCTACCTGTGTGTTGATACTGTGGTAGTGATGTCTATTTACATAGACATGCTTGATGACACGTGGAGCCTGTATCTGCACATGAGTGCAGTCAATCACACTAATAACTCCGGGGAAATGGGACACCTGATAAAACGCCATTTGATTCGTGTGGATCTAGTTGGGTTGTGTCGGAAAGCGAACAAATCTAGTGAGAATCCGGTGCGACGACAGTTCACCGACAGTCTCATGTACAGCACGGGACATTGTCTGTCTCACAGTCCCTAAACCACATTAATTTCCCTACTGCCAAGCTCTCTCTGCAGTGCTAAAGCCCTAAACAAAGCAAGTCTTGATTTCTTCAGTCTGAATCTCTGGTCTCCCTGGGGCTCCTTTTCAATATAAATAGGCTTGTTTGTTACTATCAAAATTATATATATTCAGAGACTAAGCCTTAGTCTACACGGGACACAGTAGGCTGACTAACTCCATGGTCATCACCATTACATAGCTGGAATTTTCCTGTTGCTAGGAAGCGCAATGTCAAAAGTGTTTTCACAGTGGCATCGACTACATGATTTCTTGCTGTGTTAGGCTGAATGGCATTTGAGAACAAATCAATTACAAACTGTATGCCGCCCTTGTCTAAAGGATACTGTTTAATGAGTTCTTCATCACTTAAGTCCTAAAAATGGTTACTTCTTCGACGGTAAATTCTTATATTGGCATGTCTGGCAGCCATTTTTGTCAACTGACTTAACCCCCTGGATGCGGAGTTTTTTTCAGGCGCACATTTTCATACAGCTTCAAAAGTGAACGTTTTGCGAATGAATTGGACTCACGTGGTCCTGGATCTACATACGGCTGTAAAATTACACAGAAATGTAGAATATTAAATTTCCTATCCGTTGGTATAAATATAAGTGCAACTACCTTGGCGGTTTGAGAAATAGACCTTTCTGAATGTTGTCCAAGTTTTTGTTATGCGTTAAAAACAGTAAATTTCACCCCTTTTTATCACGCACCGATAAAAGCACTGTGCTACGATTTTTTTTAATTTGGCATCTTTACGGAAAGTGTGAGTGAAGAAAATACAGCCTGATATCTGAACGACATAATTGTATATGAATTAGGTTTATCTGCTTATGCATTATGTTATATGCTCAAGATTAAAAATGACTCGCAATGAATGTCAAAAATGGATTTTCTTCTATGATGCAAATGACGACAGAGAGGCCACGCCGTATAATGATAAGGGGGCATAACTCTGTTATGCTTAACACTTGGTCAATGTAACTCGGATCACATGGAGAGAATTTGTTGCGGATACAGACGCTATATTTTCGGTATTTTTTGTTCACAGTGAACAAAACTACTCCAAGTTCCCCAATGTGAGCGGATACACTTTTGTTTTCCACTTCATCATACCTGCTTCTAAATGCCACTTAAGGAAGTTACACTTTTGTAGTTTCACAATTTATAAGAAAAGATGACAACGTACTACATGTGAAAGAATGTAATAGCGATTTGGATGGCCTTATCCGATATATACAGTGAGACCTCGGATACCCGGACCCCAGATATCCGGAAACCTCGCCTTCCGGTCAATTTTTAGAAGAAAAAAATCTCTTACATTATAAAAGTGACTGTCTATAACGGATATTCGGTTTCCATTTCCGGACGTTACATTTTACAAACAAACCAGCTAAATCAACACAAAATTGACTCACCTATCCGCACAAAGCTTTGATCTACCGCTAATCGTGTGAAGGGAATTGCGAGAGTCCGACGTGTTTTGACACGAGACATGGTCGGCTAATCCGGATTAATGATCATCAAGGTATTGGTGGTGATTAGAAGGCCTAGCTGACACTGAGTTAACCATTGAGTTCTAACTGTTAAGTTGTTTATTCAGTCAAAGCAATAAAAGTGCAATGTGTCGATATTCAAGTCAGTTGGTCTTTCAATTGATCACAAATGGCTAGTCAACCTACTAAACGCAAGCGCTACGCAGTGACAGCCAAGGAAACGAAAGAGATATGTCTTTACAAAGAACAAAATCCCAAAGTAAGCTTTGATAACATTAGCAAACATTTTGGACCACATTGTTTCGGGAAGTGATTTCATACCCGAAGTGTATGCTCGCTACAGATTCAACACTAAAGCCTGGATGACATCTGACCTGTTCAGCGATTGGCTGATCTACTTTGATAGACAGATGAGGTCGCAAGGTAGGCGTGTCATACTGCTTTTAGACAATGTCGATACGGAGGATCAGGCAGCCCCACTACCCTGCTCGTTTGCTGACACAAAGAAATATTACGAAGGCCTACTCAGCTACTTTGAGAACAATGGCGACCGTGAAAACCTGGACAAAATGTTGTCCGTCGTGTTACAAAGGAGCGGCACTCAGTGTAAGCAGTCCTCAATGAAAGACTTTTTCAAAACTGACTAATTGTAAAGGTATGATTGTTTTGTTGTGATGCTGTTTTTGAATGTCTATACATGTACAATAAACGCTTGATGATCATAAACATTTTGGATTTTCCTTGAGGTGTATGAAAACCAAAAATCCAGATCACCGGATATTCAATTATCCGGACGATTTACGTAAAAACGAATGTGTCCGGATATCCGAGGTCTCACTGTAAGTTAGTTCTTAGATTCCCATATTCTCCTGTTTGTGTAGATGTATTTTGACTAATTTTGCATCGTTATTACCGGAGTACTTGCCATATCTTAGAATGTAATGAAATTGCTGAAAATATTGCAACATTTTAGTTGACGTCATTGCTTGTTTTGTTCATTTTGCGACGTCGGAAAAAGACGACACTGGTATTGATTAGTACATATCTCACCTAATTTCCATTAATTGTATAAAAGGTCTCGGCGTCTATGTCAGAAGTGAAAACACTTTAGACAAAACATAAAATGACTGATTTATCAACAATTAGACGGTTTGACCGCGTATCTTATTGTGAGCAACATGCGCACCTGTTTGGCATCAATTTAACATAAATGAAAAATAATACTCCACAACACCCGAATATTTTGTCTAGGATAAGAATTTTCGTTGTTTATGATTATGTAGCTATTTCTCTTCATAAGTATGCAACGAAGGATGTAAGATTTGTCAAAATTAAGACATGACATGGTTTATACAATGTATATATTTGAACAATTTTTGTATAAATATAGTTAGAGTCTGATATCCTGTTATCACAATATTTTTTAATCGAATACGAATTGATTATATTATCGAAAACAATGATAGTGAATCAAAAAACGTTTCCGACAAACGCGCACTTGGCCAATCAATATACATCATTGTTTTGTCTATAAAACGACACAACAATATGCAATAAACAAGACAATTCCTTTAAATATGTGTTTGCATATATATTTCATAAAATATGTAAATCATTTTCATTAATATTATCAGTTTTACTTATAAGGTTGAATTAAATCGCTGTTCATTAACCTGTTCATATGAAACTGCAATATTAGTCCAAATGCATTGAATATTGTACATCATAGGAACTAAAGTAGTTGCAGTTATGGCTACATTTGATCTTCTAACAGTTGTGTAAAGGTATAGAATGTGGTGTACTGCACTAAATGTGTCAATTTCATATGTAAATATGATTCAAACAATGAAAAACGTACAAAGAATCAAACACAGTAAACCCTATATGCACATATGATATTGAACAAGGCTAAATGTCGATACTGTAGTCAGTTTCATGAAAAAGTATCTGAACTATCCACAAAATATACTTCATAATACTGACAGTGTAATCGGAAGGATTAGGCGATTGTGTTACTCTTCTTGGAGCACCTTTAGAATACAGCACCACAACTTCTCGTGAGGACGATCTCTGCCGTAGGTCACATGTCATTAAGACAAGCAACCAGTTTGTGAGAACCCGTCGGACGCGAACCCGCGACCTTCGGATTGTCAGCTCGAAAGCTAACCGACTGAGCTACGTCCACACTGTTGCACAATGTGCAAATTTATCGAGTCATTCCCGTGA